ATATGGTTTTAACAAATGCAATATAAGAGTTGCAAACTCAAGAAATAAGCATATGTGAAAAACAATAGCATAAACTCACCTCTTTCGTATCTTGGTGACCAACATTTCCTCCACAAGCCCAGCATCCAAAGCAAGCTTGTAGATCTCGGATCCTCCAATGTTCCAGATCTTTTCAATCTTTTCTGAGAGTTCACCAAATGATAACTCCCTCATTACACTATCAAAATTGTCGCTGGAACATATTATAATTGCATAGTGAATTCAATGGCAGGAAAGAGAAATCGAAAAGTTCGTACCTTACAATTATGTCTTCTTCTTTGCGACTCGGCAATGTTCGACTGATGACAATATTTAGGCGGTTTTTCAGTGGTCGAAACTTCTCTGGTATACTTTCCCAGCACTTACGACCCATTATGACTGCATTTCTCTACAACAATACAGCCAAATTGAAACAAGACGTCAAAGCATGATACTAGGTAAATTTACATGAAAATGACATCATGGTAAAGCGAAAAACAGACAAGGAAAAAAGTTTTTTGATGAACTTTTTCTTCGAAGAAAAGTCTGAGGAAGGAAAAAATTATCAGGAGATAAATTGTTCAAACAAGCACGATGCGGACGAAGTCAAGTAAAATAAGCTCAGCGAAGTGACTGGGCAAATCAAAAGGATGGAAATGACAGTTCTTTCCGATTTTTCACAAAACCCATTGTTAATGAAACCTAGATTGTTATCTGCGACTTTCCATGAGATAACGAAATATCCAGATGGCTATGATACTATAGCATGGCCGAAGATGAACCCCAAGTCAAATCGGGAACAGAACGAAGAAAAACGTTGAAAGTCAATTCGTGATAACAAACTTTTAGAAAACCAAAAACTGCTCTCTGCTTATCTAGAATTTCGTCTGATGTAGCGTCAATACGTGAAAATAGAACAGAAATTTTATAAACGCAAATAAATTGCCTTCAATGCGGATATAAAAATGAAAAGAACAAAACAAGCAATTTTACAACCAAAGTATCTGTTTGCGACATTACGCTTACCTTCGATGGATCAGTGGTAGCTGACGTTTGTTGTGCAAAAAAGTTCATATCCTTTTTCAATTTCCACGGAATGGTTCCATTCTTTCCAATTCCAAGTTTTGAATCAACAGCGACAATTAAACTCATTTTTCGAAGAGTACGCTCCTTCATGATGTACCCTGAGAAAAAATAAGAAGATACTTGCCATTGTAACGAAACTTATTTACGCTCAATAATTAAATAGTATCACAATAAGGAAAAGAAGATGAGAAAAACGATCTGATTACCACG